AAGGTCTACTATGGAGATGCTGAATCAGAGAGGCCCAAAGGTGAGTGGAAAGGTGGTTTATTCCTAAAAGCAATGGGACTAGGTGAAATTCTTTTTGGAACAATGCAACCCACTTCCTACCCCCTACACATGCACGCACGCACACACACACACACACACACACACATACATCCAGAATCCTAAACACCTTTCTCCCCTCAGTTATAGCATATAATCTTGTAAGTATCCAACCAGGCATAGGAGGATTTCTCTCTGGGAAAACTGGCCCAAAAGAAAAGACCCACAGATAGTGACATCCATGGGTCCCTCAATGAAATGTTCAGCTACCCACCAGTCAACAAGAATTGCCTACATGTACACAGCCCTCACATTTACATGTAGTTCCTCACTCTTAAAGTCCACAAGAATCATCTTTTTTTTTTTAAACAGTCTTATTATGTTGTCCCCCGGGTGAGAGCTGTGGTGTCACAGCTCACAGCAACCTCCAACTCTCGGGCTTAAGCAATTTGCTTGCCTCAGCCCCCTAAGTAGCTGGGATTACAGGCACCTGCCACAACTCCCGGCTATTTTGTGGTTGTTGTCAATGTCGTTTATCAGGCTGAGGCCAGGTTCTAACCCACCAGCCCCTGATGCATGTGGCCAGTGCCCTAACCACTAAGCTATTGGTGCCAAGCCAAGGATCGCCATTTTTATGAAGAAAGTCCTAACACGAAAGATAAAGAGCAACGCAAACAAAAGAAAATGAACTCTGAAGAAAAAGATCATGCAGAGAGCAAAAAAAAACTTCTTAGAAGACCTTAGAGAAATAAAAGAATGTATTCTAATTCATGAACTAGAAAGATAGTGCTACAGAAAAGTATCATTAAAATAGGAAACAAAAATAACTTGGAAGCTAGATATGTGGCAGTGTAAAGTTAAAAGAAAAAACTTCAAAAGTAGAATTGGAAGTTAGAAGTGGTGAAATTTTCTAGGAAATAGAACAAAAAAGCAAAGAGCAAATCAGAGAGGGAAAAAGGTAAGAAATTAGGAAAGTGTCCAAAGAGATAAGGTAGAAAATCTCAAAGAAGAGCTGGGTGTGCACACCTGTAGTCCCAGCTACTTGGGAGGCTGAGGCGGGAAGACAGCCTGAGCCCAGTAGCTCGAGGCTGCAGTGAGCTACCATTTCGCCACTGCCCGTCAGCCTGGGTGACACAGGGAGGCCTTGTCTCAAAACAAAACCAAAATAAACACAAAACTGTCCTACCTGCAGACATGTACAAAAAAAAGTTTTTAAAGAAAATTACAAAGAAATACAAGAAAATGGCTCATAACTAAAGGATATGTGTTTCACACTGAAAGGATTTATTAAGTACCAGAATAATGACCAATAAAATACCTACTTCTGAGAAGTTTGTCTTGAAATTTCAGAAATCAAGAAAGACCTGAAAAATTTCTAGAAAAGAAAACAGTTTATGTACAATCGAACATAGATTATAATGGCATCAGATTTCTCAGAAGCAACGTTAAAAACCTTAAGATGAGCGAGCTGTGCCTTCACAATTCTGAAGGAAAATGATTTCCAATCAAGAATTCTATACCCAAACATCCACAAATCAATGTAGGGAGAGGAGGAAGAAGGGGCTGTTTTCAGACATATGGAGCTCCCAAGATATTTTACCTCTCATCCTGCTTTCCTCAGAAAACTATTGGAAGACATGCCCCGGAAACAAAGAACTTGGATCCTATAAGAAACAGGAATCTTACACAGGAAGGAGGTGGAGGCCATTTCTAAGACAGCTATGTCTGCAATAGCACAATGCAAAGTTGGCTTACGATGCAAAGTTGGAGGTATGCCTCCAAGATAAAAAATATATATATATCATCTGATGAGTTTTATAGAATTAATATTATATGTTATATAATTCCATCAGAAAGTACAGAGGTTGCTATGCAAAATGGAAAAATGCTGTAATTAACTTCAGGAAAATTTGAACGCTTTATAGGAAAGAAAAGTAATCACAGTATATCGAGTCATGTAACAAAACAAAAATAGTTTACATAGTTAATAACAGAGTAGTCAAAATTGATTTAAAAGGTTGTTTGGGGAAGGATGAGTACCTTGGGGAGAGAAAGAAAAAACAGTATGTAAAGATCACAATTTTCCCTAGTGTGAAGTTTCCAGATTATGTCCAAAATTTTAGAAAATCAAGAAGTTGCATCATAAACATGTTATTTAGAAACATGAAGACGCGGTGGCTCACACCTGTAATCCTAGCACTCCGGGAGGCCAACTCAGTTGGATTGCTTGAGCTCAGGAGTTCAAGACCAGCCTGAGCAAGGTCAAGACCTCATCTCTAAAAACTGTCAGACACTGTGTTGGATGCCTGTAGTCCCAGCTACTAGGGAAGCTGAGGCAGGAGGATCTCTTGAGCCCAAAAGTTTGAGGTTGCTGTGGACTACGATGCCATGGCACTGCAAACAGGGTGACAGAGTGAGACTCTGTCTCAAAAACAAAACAAAAAACCCAAAGACACATGAAGGTAAATACTAAAAATAATAATTATGAGTTGAAGTAATAGCTCCCAGGAAAAAGATTCGAGGGTAAGGACAGGTGGGCAGGGAACTGCTATTAATATTTGATCTAAACATGCCCTGTATAAATATTACATGAAAACTAAAAGACCTTTTTCTGAAGTTAAGCAATTGAAAATAGGCTCATGTCAGAGAAATTGCCATGAAGAGTACGTAGAAAGATGCTATAATCGTACCATCCCCATTGTCTATCTTCTATGTATTTCCCAACTCAGCCTTGCCCCAGGCAGGAACAGTCCTGTCTTTATACTTTACAAAAAAACAAGGAAGTCCTACTCAAAGTAGGTCAAGACAACTCAGACTCTACTCTGACCAAATTTCTACCTTGTACAGGTGCCAGGACCGGGGCAGCTCTTCTGTCTCCCCAAGCCAAGACCTGGTCTGATATATCACCTGTGACTACGGCCGCCTCTCAGTACCTGGCTTTCCGGCTGCCAATGGAGGCCTCTCCTGCCTGATGTCCGCGTGTGGTCTAACACGACACACTAGTAAGCCTGTCCTCTGTCCAGACGGGACACCATCTCCATCTGATCTGTCAGACATATATAATGAAACCCTTTACTAGCATCCCCTACTGATTTTGCCTTTACTACACCTGAGAAGCCTCAAAAGGGAACGTCTAAATTTCAATGACCATTTACTCCCAGACAGGTCAAGCTCTACAATAAACCAATTCCTGGCCCACCACAGCGCCACCAAAACAGACATCACAACACATCACAACAATAAAATCTGCAGCCACAAAGACATCCTGGCACAGAGATGCTGTTCAGTGATACAAACACTGACAGAGAATTGACCCACTGCATGTACAAATCCAACTTACTCTATTTCTTCTAGCCAGAAAACAGCTCACTGATTCAGACTGGAGATGTGTCACTGCTGAACCATAATCTCTCTTCTAGAATCTGCTCCCTTAAGTTGGCTAGTGAGCCAATGAACGGCTCATTCACTCCTCTCCCCAAACACGCCCTGCCTCAGCTGGAAACAGGCAGGCTTCAGTGCCTTCTGACTCAGTTCCACACTGTCCCTTCTGGTTCGTGATGTCAAGACTATACGCCATATTTTGCAGATCATGACAGAGCCTCAACCCATGTGTTAAAATAATTAAACACACTGAAGAAACATTTGGCATTTTTTGAGGATAAAAGTATATTTTCTCTCTGATCCTCTCACAGCAACACTCTGAAGTCCTGAGACGCCTTTAGTAATGTTAGCATATGAGAACGCGTGGTAGCAGAGCAGCACAGTAGCCCGTGTGGAATGCTGCACAGAGTAAGACGGCGGTGCAGCTGGACTTACATTTCTGGGATTGTTTCTACTTGTCTTTTGAGCCCATCATAATTTTTTCATGTTTTTTTTTTTTTGAGTTAACGGTAAATTTCGCATTAAACCATCAAAGGATGCTAACAGAGAAGGACAATTTGATCCTAGAGAATAGAAGATGATATTGATACTTAATCCTTGCAACACCCCTGAGAAGCGAGGGCACCATGATTATCCTCAGCTCGGAAAGAGTGTGGAATCTGGCCAAGGTGTGCAACTAATAGCTGAGGAGCTGGGACAGATCTGTCAGACGACAAAACCCATTATACCCGCTGAACTACACTGTCATCCCTTAGAAAGAACTAGATAGATTTCTTAATTAGTAAAAGTAACCTATAAAGCAAAACCTCGACTTACGGATAATGGAAAATTAACTCTTTTCCCTTACCATCTGTTCAGGTGAGAAACACACTCAATGGCTTGCAGTTAATAATACGAGCAGTCGGGTGGAAAGTAGAGTAGTCCTCCCCATCAGAAGTTTCACTTTCTGCAGTTTCGGTTACCCACAGTCAACCACGGAGCAAAGACATTAAATGGAAAATTCCAGAAATAAACAATTCATACATTTTTAATTTTGACCTTCTAATGATTGTGACTAAATCACACACCATACTGCTCCACCTGTTTGTCCAACATATGTGCTGTACATGCTGCTCATCCACTGGTCACTTAGTAGCCATCTCTCAGTTATCAGATCAAAAAACATAGGTAGTGTATATGAGGTTCAGTACTATCTTAGATTTGGGGCATCCACTGGGGGGTCTGGAACACACACCCTGCAGATGACGGGGGGACTGCTGTATATAGAATATGCAAAATTAGTAATCAATGTTTGGTATTAAATTTTTAACTAAAGATGTAAATTAAATATCAGCTGT